ACATACAAGAATTATTAAAGGGTGTTATTCGGTTATAGAACCAACAACATCAGACAACAACCTGAATTTAGGCAACAGGACAGCATCACCCAGATACTAACCTACATAACTGTCATGGATTGAATTGTATCCCCCACAAAATATGTGTCAATTTGGTAAGCCATAATTCCCAGTATTGTGTGGTTGTCTTCCATTTTGTGATTGATATAATTTTCCTATATGTGGTAAATCCTAATCTCTGCCTGTGGTTAACAAGGCAAGATTGGATTATGCTGAAGAGGATTAGGATGGGTGGTAAGACTCTTGCTCAGGTCACATCTCTGATCCAGTGTAAAGGGAGTTTCCCTGGGCTGTGACCTGTACCACCTTTTATCTTACAATACATAAAAAGAAAGGGGGGAAGAAAAAGGAAAGAGAAGAGAGCAGAGAGTGGGGGACCTCATGCTACCAAGAAAGCAGCACCAGGAGCAGAGCGCATCCTTTGGACCGTGGGTTCCTGAGCAGAGAAGCTCCTAGTCCAGGGGAAGATTGATGACAAGTACCTTCCTCCAGAACCAACAGAGAAAGCCTTCCCCTGGAGCTGATGCCCTGTATTTGGACTTCTAGCCTACTAGACAATGAGAGCATAAACTTCTGTTTGTTAAAGCCATCCACTTGTAGTATTTCTGTTATAGTAGCATGAGATAACTAAGACAGAATTTGGTACAGAGAGAGTGGGGTGCCATTCTAACAGATACCTAAAATGTGGAAGCAATTTTCAAAAGATGAATGGATAGAGGACCGGAAGTAGCAGAGGACCAGCAACAGCAGAGAAGTGACAGTGGCAGAGAACTGGCAGCAGCAGAACCAAGAGACCAGCGCTGGACAACACTGGAGCCGACCTACGGAGTGAGACAGCTGAGTGCCTTTGTGGAGGATGCTTCCTGGTGGAGTAGGGTGCCTCTGGGCACTCACCAATGGAGCAAGCTTGCCGAACCATGGAGCAAGAGAGCTGAGTAACTTCCAGCTGAAGTTTACTGGCAGAGTAGGGTGCCTCTAGGCACTTATTGGTGGAGCTACAAAGCTTTGGAATGCTTGCCTCAGCAGGGTAGATGTGGGCATGAGGCCAGAGGGCCTAGAGGCCAAGGAACCAGGAAGCAGAGCTGAAGAGACAAGGAATACAGGAAGCCGAGCTGCCTCAGTTTCAAAGGGTATGGCCACAACCTCTGGGGTTTCAAAGGGTGGAGCCATGGCCTCTGGTGTTTCTAAGGGTGGAGTTACCACTCAGATGGATTAGGAGAATGGTGTGCCTAAAGTGTAGGGAGTAGAGTTGCCCTCCCACTGGGTCTGAAAGGCAGAGCTGAAACCCAGGGCTGAGAGGCCTCCACTCAGAATCTGAGGAGTGTAGCCAATACCTAGAGTCTGGAGGGCAGGGCTATTGTGTGAATAGTCTCAGAGAACAGAGGATTATTTTTAAGCCTTGAGGGCTAATGTAATGTGTTCTGCTGACTTGCTTGGTGCCTGGTATCCCTTCTTTCCCTCCAGTTTCTCACATTTGTAATGGAAATGTCTAGCTTGTGCCTGTCCTGCCACCGTACATTTGGAATCAGATAACTTGTATTCTAGATTTCATAGATGAAGAGGAATTTTTTGGATTTTGGACTTGGAGTTGATTTAAGACTTCTGCTATGATATGATGGGCTGAATGGGTTTTACATGTGGCAAAGACATGAATTTTTGGAGGCCAAAGGGTGGAATGTCATGCATAAAATTGTGTCCCCCAAAAATATGTGTCAATTGGTTAGGCTATGATTCCCAGTATTGCATGGGTGTCCTCCATTTTGTCAGTGATATAATTTTCCTATATATGGTAAATCCTAATCTCTGCCTGTGGTTAATGAGGCAAGATTGGATGATGTTGAAAAGGATTAGGGTGGGATATAATACCCTTGCTCAGGTCATATCCCTGACCCAACAGTAAGGGGAGTTTCCTTGGATTGTGGCCTGTACTACCTTTTATCTTACAAGAGATAAAGGGAAAAGGAAGTGAGTAGAGAGTGGCGGACCTCCTACCACCAAGAAAGCAGTGCCAGGAGCAGAGCGTGTCCTTTGGACCTGGGGTTCCTGCATGGAGAAGCTCCTAGTCCAGGGAAAGATTAACGACAAGGACCTTCCTCCAGAGCCAACAGAGAAAGCCATCCCCTGGAGCTGATGCCCTGAATTTTGACTTCTAGCCTACTAGATTGTGAGAGAATAAACTTCTGTTTGTTAAAACCACCCACTTGTGGTATTTCTGTTATAGCAGCACTAGATAACTAAGACAGTAATGTATTATCAAGGATAAAACAAAACTAAAAGATTTACAACAGGGAACCAGAGAGGTCAATCTGTAAATAGCAACAACGTCAGAACAATAAAAGAGGGAATAAACAGTGTAGGTATAGAACTTTTAAATGAAGGGGAAGTCAAGGTGATAAAAAGTAATAGAGGACTGATTTAAACTTAGGAAGACAGGGGTAAATTTCAAGGTAACCACAAAGAAAGTTAACAAAACTACTCATCAAAATAAAGAAGGAAAACATTGTCTCAGTAAACACAAAATTTACAAAAACAAAAGAAACACACATAAAAAAAATCCACAAACAAAAGGAATTCAGCACAGGAGAGTAAGAGGAACAAAGAAAATGTCAGCACTACAAAAAAAAAACGCAACAAAATGACAGCAATGAACTCACACCTATCAATAATCACACGGAACGTAAATGGCTTAAATGCATCCATAAAGAGACAGAGAGCGACAGAATGGATTAAAAAAAAGGACCCATCAATATGCTGTCTACAAGAGACACACCTTAGAAACAAAGACATCAATATATTAAAAATCAAAGGATGGAAAAAAATACATCAAGCAAACAGCAACCAAAAAAGAGCAGAAGTGGCAATACTAATCTCAGATAAAATAGACTTTAAAACAAAATCCACCATAAGAGACAAGGAAAGACATTATATAATGATTACAGGGACAATCCACCATGAGGATATAACCATAATAAATATTTACCCACCCAATGACAGGGCTCCAAAATACATAAAACAAAATCTAACAGCATTGAAAAGAGAAATTGACAGTTCCACAATAATAGTAAGAGACTTTCAACACACCACTCTCAGTAAAGGACAGAACATCTAGAAAGAAACTCAGCAAAGATACAGACGATCTAAAGGCCACAATCAACCAACTTGACCTCACAGACATACATAGAACACTCCACCCAACAGCAGCAAAGTACATGGAACATTCTCCAGAATAGACCACATCTTAGGCCACAAAGCAACCCTCAACAGAATGTAAAACATTGGGATAATACAAAGTATCTTCTCTGATCATGTTATCAAAGTAAAAATTAATAACAAGAAGAGCAAGGAAAAAAATCAAATACATGGAAACTGAATAACACCGTGCTGAAAAATCACTGGGTAATAGAAGACATCAAAGATGGAATCAAAAAATTCCTAGAATCAAATAAGAGTGAAAATACATCATATCAAAACCTTTGGGACACAGCAAAGGTAGTGCTCAGAGGTCAATTTACAGCAATAGATGCACACATTAAAAATGAAGAAAAATCAAATAATTAAAACACTCGCTACACAACTGGAACAAATAGAAAGAGAAGAGCAAAAGAAGCCCACAGCCACCAGAAAAAACGAAATAATAAAGGTCAGAGCAGAAATAAATGAAATAGAGAATAGAAAAAACAATAGAAAGAATCAACCAAACCAAAAGTTGATTCTTTGAAAGGATCAACAGAATTGGCAAACCACTGGCGAAATTGACAAAAGAAAAACAGGAGAGGATGCAAATAACCCAAATAAGAAATGAAATGGGGGACATTACAACTGAACCAACTGAAATAAAAAGGATCATAACAGAGTGCTATGAAAAACTCTACTCTGACAAATTTGAAAACCTAGAGAAAATGGACAAATTTCTAGAAACATACTACCTACCTAAACTAACACAAGCAGAGGTCAAAACTCTGAACATATCCATGACAAGAGAAGATATTGAAAAGGTAATAAACCACCCCCCAACAACAAAAAAAAAAAACCTGGCCCAGATGGCATCACTGAAGAATTCAACCAAACATTCAGAAAAGTGTTTGCACCAGTACTACTCAAGCAATTTCAGAACTTAGAAAAGCAAAGGCTACTTCCAAATTCATTCCATGAAGCCAGTATAACCTTGATTCCAAAACTAGGCAAAGGCACCACAAAAAAAAGAAATACAGACCAATAATGATAAAAGAAAACATCATCAATTAAGTCTCTGGTTTTCCATGACCACATTCAGACACTTTGAAGAGTACACAAAAACTTTTTGTTTAAAAGATACTGGCAATTTTGGATCTAGAAGTTTATAACACTGAACTCTAGCACAATTATTTATTTGTTGGAGAACTATAGTTTTAGTGAGATATTCTCATACCTCAAATTATAAAAACTTGCCATATAGTCAGCTTTTACTAGGCGCTGGATATTTTCACATGGTCATCTAATCTTCAAAAAATTTTGTCAAGTAGAAAACACGGTTCAGATTTTACAGATGAGAAAATCAAGGTTTAGTAAGTTTAATTAATTTGCTCAAGTTGTCATAACCAGTAAGTTGTGGAACTGAAATTCAAATTCTGGTCCATCTGGTACTAAAATCCATGTTCTCATTAAACTATTCTGCTTTTCAAAAAATGTGAAAAAAGAATAAACTCCAAAAAATATATCACTGGTGAATTTTACATTTCAGACAGATTAAATGTTTAAAAAATTCTATTTGATAATGTAAATAAATATGATGTCTACACATAACTTTTCACTTTTGAAATCTTCAAGATGTATATTAACCTATGTGTTCTCTCATACATTCCAGAACAAAAACCAATTCTGTAGACTAATATTGAAAAGAATGGAAAGGTTTCAAAAGTTAGTGTTTATAAATAGTTTATCGATAGCTTAGTTTTCATTACCTTAGGCAATGATTTTGGCTTGGGTTCAGGTTTATCTTTGCAAACAGAGTCTCTAATGAGCCGAGATCGGTCATAATTAGCGTGTTCTGATTCATCTGTGTAATCCTTATCTTTTTCTAGGGCTAGAAAAAAGAAAGAAAAGGTTAAATCCATTTTTATCCTCCTTTTTCTCTGTTTAAATGTATCAATCTCTCTGTTTTTCATGTTTTCCCAAAATTTAGCTGAGCATAGACTTTACATGATTGTTCCATCCAATAAATAAGCATAAAAAAGTAATCACATGAAGCTTGTCTGTTAATACTGATAGTGACAGCCATCAAGCAGGTAGTGATTTTCATAAGAATGAAATGCATTTCTCCTAATATACTTAAACTTTTTGAAAGTAAATGTAATACTATGCAAACTATGTTGAACACATTACTACTTCTGAACTTGAAGATAATGATATTTGTAAGAACTGAATAGATTCTTAAGATTTTTTTGCCTACTTAATAACTGCATTGATTCTGAAAGTTTGTTTCCTTAGAAGTTAGATAACTTTATAAATATGAATTTGGTTAAAGGGTGTAAGAAATCTGAAAGACCTTGGAAGATATGCTACCAAACGTTATAAGAAAGATAAAATTATATACATACATATAACTCTACAATTGCAATGAGGAATGAGAACATTGAAAAATGATAGTTACCACTGGAATGATTTAAAATAGGGTAAGGCACTGTAATAACAAAAACATGTAAGGACTGCATATGAATAATGAATAAGGTGTAATCAATGTAAAAGGGTATAAAATAAGAAATATCTATGGTGGTCATAAGCACAGACAAGAACTGTTGACACACTTCAAAAATTTGTGTCCTGTAAAACACAAATCTCTCTTCAAATTCAAAAGCAGACAATTCCTATATATTTAGCCTTTTAAAAAAAATCAAATGTCTTGGAGAGAGCTATTTATTAACTCTGTTAGTACCTATCAAACATGACAAGCAGAACTATATCAATCATTTGACCAACTATTGTAAAGAAGAAAATTAATATCATCAATTTTGTTTATAAGCTAATGCACTAATTTCTTTTACTGGTAAGGCTTAAAATGTGCTATAACATGATATGTTATACCATGTATAGATAGTAGCATCAAGTTTTTAACAGAGTAGGAAATAAAATGGAACAATCACATTATGCCTTTGTGATTAGTTATGTTAAAATTCTCTAAGCATTTAATGAGTATACACAAACGTATTAATAATAGCTAACACTGAATAGTATTTGCTCAGTACATACTATGAGCCACAAACATTACATGTATTATTTCCTTTAATCCTTATAAGAATGCTATGAAGTAGGTGTGATTATTACCTACATTTAACAATAAATAAACTAAGGTGTATGAGACTTAAGTAGCTTGCAAAAGTCAATAAACTAGTAAGATGTACATCTAGAACTGAAATGCAGTTGAATATGATTCCAAAGCTGATGTTTGTGAATACACTATCCTGGGTCCCTTAGATTTAGATAAATTCCCTTTTTTCAACAATTATTTAACAGGTATGATACTACAGACATTATTCTAAGAGTTGGAGATAAAGTAGTAAAAACAACAAATAAAACCCTGCCTGTATGGAATATTCTAGTAAGAGAAGAAAAACAATAAATAAAACAAATAAGTAAAACATTAAGCATGTCTCATGGTGAGGGCATTGGAGAAAAATACAGTAGGGAGGAAGGATACAAGTGCCAAAGGCTGGCAGAGGGGGGATGTTATTTTAGTATAGAGAACAGTAATATTAGAGCAAAGACCTCAAGAGGTGACGTAGTAAGTCATGCAGGTAAACTGGAGGAAGAAGGGTCCAGACAGAGAAAATAACAAGTACAAAACCTGGACTTGGCTTGGACTGTTTTATAGGTGGAAAAGAACAACTTCAGGAGTGAGTTTGTTGGACCATCTCCTGAAACCCCACCAACTTGTCACTTTGGAACCTACGTTTTACATAAAACCATTTCCTTATTGTGTATTCTGCACAAGATTCCCAAGAATGAGAATGATGAAGATAATACTCACCAACTAGCAATCTAACCATTCACTAGCAGGCAGTCCCTTCAGACACCTAGGACACAGGGTGCTTAGCGTTTCTTTTTCCTTCCCTTCTTTTCCCTTCCCTTGTCTTTCCTTTCTTTCCTTTCCCTGTTTCCTTTCTTTTCCTCCTTCCCTCCCTCCTTTTCTTCCTTCTCTCTCTTTCTGCCTTTCCTCTGTTATTCCCTCCCCTCTTCCTCTCTTCCCCCTACCCTTCTTGATATTCAAGAGCAAGCAAGGGTTCTTTAGGTGGTTAAACAGCAATAGAGAAATGGCATGTGCTATTGTGTACTGAGCATAGCCTGCTGGTCACAAAGATCTCATTTCTCATTCTAAGTGTGCCACCTTCTAGCCATGTAATTTCCTTTACCTGGGTCTCTATTTCCTCATCTATAAAAGGGACAGGTTTATCGAGAAGGTCTCAAAGGATCTCCTAAGTTCTGAAAATTATTTGATTACTAATTTAATGTTTACAAAAGAAAAAATGCCAATTTAAATTAATTAATGTATTTCCTTTCCCATAGAACATAAGAAATACAGAAAATGTATAAGTTTCTTCACTCATTTAAATCTTCTATTCCACTCACAAATTAATTTTTTAGGCAGAGGCTTTTTTGTTTGTTTTGGTTTGACTTTTTTTTTTTTTTTCCTCTTCAATCACTATAACACAAATATTCCTGGAGAAATAATCCTTACATTGTACGTCTTGCTGGAGGAAATCTTACTCAATTTTGAAAGCCAAAAGGCAACTTCTTCACAAAGTCTTTTCAGATCTTCTACTTTTCTCCTTCCCAAAGACTCAACTAGAACTGATCATTTTGTCTTCTGAGTTCTATCATACTTGGGTTTTTTTCTTTTGGTCTCCTTCAATTTTGCTGAAATTAGACTAAATTATCCTAATACCAAGAATTTCTTTACCATTTTGTTGTTGTTGTTTGTTTTTAATTTCCTGTAGAGTCTAACACAGCTTGATCTATAATAGATTAGTTCATGGAAAAAGAAAAAATAAGGAAAAGAAAAAAAAAGTACTAGTTATTTTGGAAAATCCTGATCTTAATGTTATAATTTAAACTTCCTTTTATTGTTAGGGATGTGTGTATGTTTACTTTTCTTATTGCCATTTGTCCTGAAATCAGTCAAAAGAACTTTTCTGTAATTTATCTAATGAGAGCTTTCTTATTAGCAAGATTGTAAACTTTTGTCACCATAATGTAAGTGGTACCACTGTCTTTTAGAACGTTCATAAAATCTCTCCTCAACTCAGAACTGATTGTTGTTTGTACCAGTATAAATCAGTGAAAATTTTGGAATAAATTTTGTCAATATGTTTAAGAGCACAACTGGAGACTACCCCAAAATTATGACCCAAAAGAAAGAAAAGCTATGCTCACAAAAATGTTCCTCCAATCTATGGAGCCCTGGTGGTGCAGTGGTTAAGCATTTGCCTGCTAACCAAAAGGTTGGCAATTCGAATCCACCAGCTGCCCCTTGGAAATTCTATGGGGCAGTTCTACTCTGTCCCATAGGCTCACTATGAGTTGGAATGGACGGCAATGGGTTTTACAGAATGGATAATAAACTATAGAAACAATTGTCATCTTAACAAATAGCAACTCCATTCTTTTGTTTTCACAAACCCAAAAACTAGGAGTCATCTTGACCCCTGACTTTCTTTTTTATGCCCACATAAGATACTTAAATAAATTATGTTGGCTTAGCATGAAGCATCATTTCTTCACTTTTCTTCACCCTTTACCACACATCACTATCTAGCATGCAGTATATTTTTTACCTATTTATCGTCATTTATTTATGTATCTCTCATTAAGGTTTTATGGGCCAGGCTTATTGCCTTTAATTTGTTTCTTTATCCCTAACATCTAGAACAAGGTCTGATATTTACTTGGCATTCAATAAATATTTGTTGAATGAATAAATGAATTTAAATGCCAGCAAATCCTGTCTGATTTACTTTTATATTATATCTAGAACTGGACATTTATCAACACCTGAATATAGTTTCTTAACCCAAGTCATCACTGTATCTTGACCAGAAGTCTGTAAAAACCTCCTAACTGGTTTCCCTATTTCTATATTTTGCCCCTACCACATGGCATCCGGAGTGACCCTTTATAACCTAAGTAAAATAACCTTAAACCTCTACTCGGAATCCTTCAATAGTTTCATAGCTCCAAGTCAATCCAGAGTCTATACTGGGTGTCATGGATTGAATTGTATCCCCCCAAAATAAGTGTTAACTTGGTTAGGCCATGCTTCCCAGTATTGTGTGGTTGTCCTCCATTTTGATTGTAATTCTATGTTAAAGAGGATTAGGGTGGGATTGTACCACCCTTACTAAGGGCACAACCTTGATCCAATGTAAAGGGAGTTTCCCTGGTTTGTGGCCTGCACTACTTTTTATCTTACAAGATATAAAAGGAAAGGGAAGCAAGCAGAGAGTTGGGAACCTCATACCACCAAGAAAGCAGCACCAGAAGCAGATGCGTCCTTTGGACCCGGGGTCCCTGCATGGAGGAAGCTCCTAGCCCAGGTGAAGATTGACCACAAGGACCTTCCTCCAGAGCCGACAGAGAAAGCCTTCCCCTGGAGCTGATGCCCTGAATTTGGACTTGTAGCCTACTAGACTGTCAGAGAATAAATTTCTCTTTGTTAAAGCTATCCATTTATGGTATTTCTGTTAAAGCAGCACTAGATAACTAAGATACTGGGCACGTCACTAGTTACTGGGCACGTATCATCTGGCTCCTTACTACCACTTACCAACTGCCTTCGTTATCTAGTGCTGCTATGATAAAAATATCACAGGTGGATGGCTTTAACTAACCGAAATTCATTCTCTCACTGTTTAGAAAGCTAGAAGTCTAAATTCAGGGTGCAGGCTCTAATGGAAGGCTTTCTCTCTCTGTTGGCTCTGGGAGAAGGTGCTTGTCTTTCCAGCTTCTGTTTCCTGGTTCCTTAGAGATCTATTTGTGGTTAGGCAGCTATCTTTCCCCCATCTCTGCTTGCTTAATCTGCTTCTTTTACAT